ATTTTTATGGAGTATTATCACTTGAAAATTTCAATGTAGTCTGTGATAAGGTATAAAGCTGTATAATAATTTTCATACAGTTTATTTGGACATCTTCAGTTGTGAAGATATATAAATATTGGTGAACCCTGACTTGAAGTACTTTAGCATGGTTTGCACAGGCCTTTAAAAGTACATGAAATTACTTCTCACACTGAAAAGTACATGTACTTAAATTCAGTGTTGCCATAAAAAGCCAAAAACAATTAAACAAACTTTAATTTCATGTTTTTTCTTTGAATTTCTATAAAATGGCAATGAATTTTTATAGCATTGAATTTTCCTTCTTTTGAAATTGTAAATGGATTTTGATATGGTCTTTATAAGGATGATCTTTGTCACAGGTTTGACAGTAATCACCTTAGGGTTGTAATCTTTATGAAAATTGTCACTGCTTTACAAACTAGATATGTTGATTTACCTAGCAAACATTATGTATCATCAAAAATAGTCCATTACTGTGTATCAGGCAAATAATGGTTTAACATTTTGGAACAGACTAATAACAGTCCAATATTATGTATCAAGCCAATAATGGTTGGACATTGTTGATCAGTCCAATAATGATCTTGCAATTGGTTTCATACCAATAATTTTTCAACAGTGTTAACCAGATAAAAAGTGTTCCATGATATTGTATTGGTCAAAATGTGGTTAACCATTGTGCATCAGAGAATGATCCAACAAGCTGATGTTTGGCAGTCCTTATGAACCTTATGACTAATTATGGTCCAAAGGAATTTACCAGAGTGATACCAAAATTGTTTACCATTGGGCCTATTATCGTTGGATGTAGTGCCAAATTCTATGGTTGTTTCTTGGCTTCATTATAGATTTTACCTTGTCAAAGATTTTCAACTTTCTTGTCTTTTGGATTATTTGAATGATTTATTAGACTATATAATAGGCAGAGTGAGAATATTTTATGTACATGTATACGTGTAGATTGGTGGTTGCAGTAGTATAGTCAGATTGTTACAACATGTATATCATTGTTATGTTTGTTTGTACAGGATTGAAAAAATAAATATTATATATTCATATCATTATCATATCATTTATCATACAAAGACATACTGTTGCATTGTCAAATAAAGAAATAAATCATGTTTTTTGAGTTTCCTTATTTTTTATAAGCTTACTTTAGCATAAAGTGCTTAGAGGTTCGATTTTGTGATCACAGTAAGTCCGTGGTCAGTCTTTTGCCACTGCATTACTAGAAATGGATACAGTGGAGTTAAAAAATACAATTTTAACTCTAATTATTATATATAATTTCTGGGGAAATATTGAGTTTACAGTGTTTTTCTTCTATTAATTTATGTATATAATAGAATTATTTCATGAATGATTTAAAAACGCTTTATATGCACGTGGGGGTATATTTTACACAGTTAGCACATATAACATGTAACCTTTTTTTTTGCCAAATTACACATTTGATTTCTTAACTGACTTTGTATTATATCCTTGTAAAAGAAAGGTTAATTTTAATTATGTGATGGACTGCAGGCTTGAACAGCGGACAGTACTGAAGACCTTTCAGATTTGCAAACTAGCTGATCTTTAACCAGCTGAATTTGTGCAATGAACTTTCAACTTCAATTTTTGGATTTGTCCATTATCAATCAGGAATATCAACACAGAAAAAGTTAGTCAACATTACAGAGCATGATCAGACTGCACGGATGTTCATTCTGGCTTTGGGGGTGTCCGTGGCCGAGTGGTTAAGTTCGATGACTTCAAATCACTTGCCCCTCACCGCTGTGGGTTCGAATCCCGACAGGGACTTTGGATTCTTTCATGTGAGGAAGCTATCCAGCTAGTTTACGGAACGTCGGTGGTTCTACTTAGGTGCCCGTTCGTGCCTGAAATAATTCACGGAAGGGCACCTGAGGTTTTCCTCCACCCGTAGAGCTGGAACGTCGCGATATGACCTATACTGTGTCGATGTGACGTAAAACCCAAAACAAACAAACAAACATTCTGGCTTTGCTATATACTGTAGGGTAAACGCGTCGGACTGGTAATCTATGGTTTGCTGAAGTCCCTTCAAGGGCATATCTTGGTTTCCTTGAGCAAGAAAATATATACTTATTGCTTACTACCCATACTTTATTCTTAAACTTGAAATATTTCGAACACACACATATAAACACGAACGCACACATTAAAATCATTTTCAACCCGCTCAGAAGGTTTTATGAAATCGGGAAACGAGCCCAAAATTACTGTAAGATATTTCTATTCAAAAGTAAGAACAGTAAGTCTTCAGCAATGAAAATGTTCTGTTTTCACTAGCGCCGGTCATATGCTGTGCATATGTTTATATTTAACTACCAAAGTGTGTCTTTGTTAGCATAGCATTATTCGTTTATTGAAGAGGAATATGTCATATAGGAAACATGTGTACATTGTATACATGTAGTTGTTTGGTAGTTCAGCCTATTTGTCTCATGGTAAACATAATAAATGAATAGCTTCATTTTGTAGGGCCGTTTATTCGGATCAGGTTAAGTATCAATCATCTTTGCTTTGTCTCATAACAGTGTCTGAAAAATGACATGTCTTTGTCCGCATTTATGGTCTTTGAACTACTTTATCTCGCCTTTCCTAATTACCACGAACTCCGAAAAAATATATCTTAAACCACATTTCTGCCGATGGCCAACATAAAATAAGTAAAAGATTTTGTATGCTTCTTTCTCTTTTTGGATATGTTTTCATTTGCCAATGTATATATTTGTAGGTGCTATAAGCATTGCAAAATATTTAATGCAATAAAATTATTGAAACGAAGTGAATGTTTGAGAGAACTATTGTTAGAGCAAACAATTTGTCAACCACAATGTATTGATTTAACACATTATGCATCAGAAATGCTTTTATAGCTTTTAAATTTTGGTTCACATTAATTTGTACTTTTAAATAGTATCCAAAATTGGCCAATTACCTGAACTATCATTTTTATCTGTTGCTTTTTGGCAATGAGTACAGTTGTACTGAATTACTATTTTGTAAGGAAGTAAAAATACTACTGTACATTTTGCTACTTTTATGACAAAATATTTCACATTTATCGCTTCTTTTTTTAGGTAACAAGCATCTAATATTCTCTCAAACGACCATAATTTTCACATTTCAAAATTCATGTTTGACCTTTCTAAAGAATCAAGAAATTATTCGCTTTCTGAGGCATCATGTATCTCATTTATAATTAGAAATAGGATTGTAATAGAAAAATATCAAAATAGAAAAGAAAGTGAAACAGAAACCCATAGAACGTCAAAACAAGAACAAAACAAAAAGCCCCGGCAAAACTGAAACTATTACAGGCTCAATTTGATTGAAGTGTAATTTTTTAAACGTGTGGAAGTTTCATTATTTCACTACATTGACTCAAATCGTATTTATTCACTAGTTATACTAATTTCCCCTTACAACACAGCATTACTTAAATGGACTTATCCATCTTTTTATTAGGATATAACCATGTTTGTTGTTGAGAAAAAATATTCATATCACTAAAACTAAAACTGAATTAGTTAACTGGACCTATTACACCTAAAGCAGTCAAATTACCGCTATTTCGATCACAATTCTCTATAACACAGCACCCCCCCCCCCCCCCCCCCCCCCCCCCCCCCCTCATCGCCCCAAAAACAGAGAGCAGGTTGATCAGAAGGTAACGTGTAACCTACGCTGAAAACACCATCCTAATATGTAGGTTAACGCAAAACAAACACTTTGTCAGCAAACCAAAGTTTTTAGTGCCTCTTTGATCAATTTCGTGTCTCAAGAATGTTTGATAAACTGCATAGTTTTTCCTCTCGCAATTTGTCTTGGGAAAAGGCAAGTTACGCAACGCTTCTTTTGAAAATAGATCTTGTTCAACTATTAAAACAGCAGAACTGAAAATGTATAACCTTATGTAAATAAGAATGAAAGGCGATTTCACACTTAAGGTTTAAATGGAGCTATGAATCGCACAACATTTAATTTTCAATTTAATAATGAGTATATACTTCTTAATTTTCTTTGGCATATTTTTGCCGTTTTAAGTGTCCAAATTGATCTATTTAACAATTTCAAATTCTATGGTTTTAGACAATTGAAACTCAATGAAGCTTCATTAACAACACTCTTCAGATTGAAAGCTACATGTAACAAATTGACTGTCAAAACAATCGGGATATGTTTGCAAAATTGCAATATAGAATAATTAAGCATAATGCTTTAATGATCCTTAAAGATCGTTCAGCACGACACAATGGTTGAGTTTCCTCTTCTATTTTATATTTTTCATATTAGATTGTTTCATTATTTCTTGAATTGAATCATGTTTAATCACCCTTACCTGCTTTAGAATATGTTGCCTGCTTTATAAATGTGTCCCTTGACGTCTGTCTGTGACATGCAGGTTTTATAACCTCTTTTTATTTTGATATTCGCTACTTCATTTATTCGTTTATTGGGTAAATGAGTATGCTTTAAGAATTGGCAATTTTCAGCAAATTAAATCACGCTATGAGACTGAAGGTATTTTGTTAAATATTCGCAAACTAGCGACAAGATTTGCAATAAAAATGCAATAGACAAGAATTGTATGCAAAAAAAATAAATTCTTTGTTCGGGGGAACATCTTGAGCAGTCAAGATTCAGGTAAATATCATCAAAAGAACTTGCCGACGATTTCTATGACATCCATTATAAGATATGCATATCCAATGTTGCATATTCTATGTTTTATAGTCTGACCTGAAATAACAACGATTCACACGTGAAATGATTGAAGTCATGAAGGTGAAATATAATTTGATACTTCTAATCATCTTTTTACTTCGAATTAGTTTTGTGGTAACTAAGACATTTACGACAGAAAATCCTTCAAATAGTGAAGGACTTACAGAGCGGACACAACAAACAGTGTAATATTTTATTGTTTGATATTTGACCTTCAATTGTGACCTTGACCTTGAGCTGACACATATGCAACATGGGTTCTGCACATCCCCTTGTTGAGGTGAACATTTGAGCCAAGTTTGAAGAAAATCCTCCAATTGGTATAGGATCTATAGAGCGGACACGAAAATGGAGACGGACCGTCCGACCGACGCGACAAAGCGAATCCATTATAGCCCCCCCCCCCACATTTTGTGGTGGGGGTATAATAAAGATATATAAATTACAGCAATATCACGAATATTGTCTTAACCATGTTTTATGGTCATCCTGATTCCCATCACTTATTATACACACATAGAGAAAAATAATACAAAATCACTTGCATGTTATACACATGCATTAAAACACTCGAGGAGTCAGTAAGCAGTGATGCAAATAGCATGTTAAGTAATTCTGCAAGGAATGTCCATGCAAATGATATGTGCTTCTATACAGCATAAAAAACAACACAAAAAATACAAAAATAAACAAAAAACAGTCGACCTCTTTGTACTCGACGAATTGAATTACCAAGTAAAGTGACGAATGACAAAAACAAATTTCCAGCAATAATGCAGAAACAAGACTTCATTTCAATTATTACCATTACCTACGGTTCCCCTCTCGCCTCTTTTATAATGGCCATTGAATATTGTAGCCTTGTCCACTTCTCAGCGTCACCACCTTTGTCTGGGTGGTATAGCAGAGCTAAACGTCTGTAATGTGAATTCACAACGCTATTTGAATCGTTGCATGATGTACCGAGAAAGGTGTATGCCTTTTCTAATGCCTCTGATTTTGGCAGGCCAAACATCCACTGCGTCAGCCGATCACAAAGTGACTCAGCAGTTGTAGCAGCAAGCATTCCACCTGCGATGGCACCAACAACCATTCCAAAGCCTATTCCTACCGGTCCGAAAAAGGAACCAACGGATGCACCAATAATTTCTCCTCCAATTCCGCCACCAATGCCTGCAGCTACCCGTACGCCACAATCTATTATATTCTTCGCGCATCTAACGCCAGTTATTTCCCCTTTCCACCATCGCTTTATATTCATGATGACATTCGCGGCAAGATATACTTTCTCGAAAGCAACTCTTACAACAGGTTGCGTCTTTCGTGCAAAGGTTATGGCTTTGCCTTCATAAAGAGCCAATGGTCTACCCATTGCACTGACGGTAGTTGCAAGAGCTCTAAAACTCTCAGGAGGAAGACGAGAAACTGCTCTCATAAAACAAAACTGTGCACCAGTACAATTACCATACACTCGGATGGCTAACGTCAATCTTCGACCACCGGCCGGATCATCAATATCTATGTCTTTCAGAAAGTTATTCCAAACGTCACACATCATTTGTCGATACCGTGGGTCTTCCTCTGCAGTTTTTGTATCTTCAGCCATCCTTTCTGCCACTTTCTTGAATACCATCGCATTAGACATCACGCTCTGCAGTGACCTAATAAACGGCTCTGCACAATCTATAGATACATTTTTCGACAAAAAGTAAAGTACCCTTGCACACGAATCAGCATCATCTTTGAATGCCTCTAGAAGGGCATTTGATATATTGGCTGGTATTTTTTTCTCCATCTGAAGAAAAGAAATTTTAATGCAGAAATATTTGATTAAGGATACTGTATATCAAATTCAAAGAACATCATTCCAGGAAATTTTAATTTGGAATTTACCTAAAACATTACATTTGATACATTTTGTTAATGCAGCAGTATCATCCTCAGACATTTTCATTTTCTAAAATAGCCTAAGTTAAATTAAAGATAATGGTTACTTAATTATCCAAATTTAACCAAAACGCAAGAGAAAGACTAAACATTGCCTAACATCGCTCACCCAAGATCTATTTTCAGAAAATTATTTTAATTCTTTAAAGCAGAAGTAGGTAATTTGGTCATGTTTTGGCGTTTTAATTTGATCCCAGGGTTTCAACTTATACAACTGCTAGGCCAAATATTTTATGTCTAGTGATTTTACAATCCTCTAATTGCGCTAATTGCTCAAGATCTGAACATAAAATAGAGAAAATAAATTAAAGTCCCTAAAGAAAGTCCAAATGGGCACAATTGAAAGTGCTGCAGGCTCAGTTCGATTGAGCCTGTTCATGGATAGTACTGTCAAGTTCATACTACCGTCCACGACCCCTAGCAGCGGCTTATGCAGAGTTCAACATTTTTGTGTCATTCCATGAAAAGCATGGTCCCCAAGTAAAATAAAAGGGGGTCACAGGTAAAGAAACCTGCATATCACAGACAGACAAAGTTAAAAAGCTGGCAACATATCCTAAGGGTGATTCAACATTATTCAAATAGGAATATTGGAACCACTCAAATAGAAAAATGCCTAGAATAAAAAATTAGAAGTACCACAAACACAACAATACTGTCGTGCTGAGCGTCTTCAAGGATCAGAAAAATAACATCTCTGATTGAAAATACGGGGCAACATTTAACGGCCTACACATGGTACAAATAACGCATATGTGGCGATAAAATACAGAAAATAAGAATTCCTATAGAAAGTGCAAACGGCAAATTTGAAAATAGTCGATCGGGCAATGGAGTATCCATGGTATGGTTAATGTTGTTTCAGATTAGAAAATGATTATTATTTCATACATTTATGAACACACGACCGTATTATTATAGGTTCATTGTGTTTTTAACGAGGGTAAATTTTTAACATGTGGGCGGGTCATATTAAAAAGTTTGATTGATCAATGTCCAATGTTGAAATTTGTTAAATCTGATTAATTTTACGTTCATGGGTTATTTTTAAATGGGGTCACAATTAATAATGCAGCGGTTAAAAAGACACGAAAATTGTATACTCAGGAAAGTGTTTATTCATGTAAGTGTTATGAATAAAATTATTTTGATCTTTGAAACAAAACAAAACAAGAGCCATCGCCAGGCACGCTCAACTTTTTACTTTTTCTAAAAGTAAACAAAGAAATGTTTGAACAAATCTTAACGTATGTTTCCTTTTTATAAATTTAATCGGTCTGTCTTGTCACATTAGTTTTGTCTATATATTTTCTATATATATATATACATACGCATTAATATATATACGCATTTATATATATATTAATATATACATATATATATATATATATATATATATATATATATATATATATATATCGGCAATTTCTCAATTTCAACTATAACATTACAACGCCGGGTGTATGCAATATCTAGAATCAAAATCGCATTCATCGCGAAATATTGACAAGAAAGGTGAGACTTGTGTCAAGGCATTTGGAATATTAAAATTAGAAGTAAGGTTATCTTTTTTGCAAAAGAAATTTAATTCAAATATATTCTGATTGCTTTACACGACTCGTTTTTGTTTAAAATACCGGTTGAAAAAGTGTTTGCGGTATCAGAATTTTGAGGATGCGCGCACATGATATGACCTCCCTTGCAAACACCATTGATATCATGCTACCAAAATAGCTTATCTCTGAGTATTTTGTGCTCAGGTTAGCCAAAAAAATGAATGTCTTATCAAACAAACAAAATATTCATTGAAATAATATATATAACACAATTCACCTGTTGTCTAAGTGAGCCAGACTGAGTTGAAATCTTCCTTGTATCATCTGTTTTTTTTCTAAGTCTTTCATCGGCATTCCTAGACATAGCTTTTTCTTCTTGCAGACAGGTACTTAAAATCTTAACCTTAAAAAATCATAGACAAAATGAATAATTATAATCAACAAATTAGTTTAAGCACATTTATTCTAGCTTGTTGGTGATAAAAGCTTAAAGCTTACTTCAACCATCTATTTATGATTCTGTTCCTGTATTTAACCATTACAGATGCCATTTACGAAAACTGCATTAAAACCCACTCTCCCTTAGCTAAGAGATAGACACCTTAACTACTTCATCATCTCTCAGAGCCCATGGGTTGTCAAGATATTTTGTTATAAAAGGTCAATGTGACCTTGAACTAGTGAAAGTAAAATGGTTCATTTACATGTCTTGACAAATTTCAGTACAAAGTATGATGTTCCTAGGTCGGGCATTCTTAGATATTTCTTGGAAAAAGTTTGGTATACCGACCAACAGATACCCCTACTTCTATGAAGGGGGGCATAATTACTGAGTTATAAACAAACTGGTATAAACAAGACCAACAATGACGACTGGATAATATGTTATATGATTACACTTTTATTTCCTAGATATACGAGAACTCAAACAACTTGATTTATCTTGGTAAGTTTTTTACTTTCTTCTCTTAATCTTTGATTGTCTGCTTCAGCAGATCCCTGGTAACATAGATGCCAGTTATATTATCACAATCACTTATCAGTCAATTCAGATAATGTAAAGTGATAAATTGAATGACAACAGCCTAAAAGACACTAACTTAAATTAGAAGATCATCTAAAGTATCTATGCAATTTAAAAACAATGAAACATTGCAAAACGTAAATTTTAATATATTTATAAAGACAACACATGACTTGATTTGTGGTCTATTTCCATTTAAAAATGTAACATGTGTTTTGCATATACTAATTTGAAATATAATATAGCTCTCTTTTTCAGTCCTTATTTTCACACCTCATCATCAGCGCTACATCCTGTGGCTCTGTCTGTTGCCTTGTCAGCTTGAATGTGCTCGTACAAATTTGGCATTTCATCTTTCATTTCCATTGCGTGATCACTATTTTTGGGTTTACATGAATTTGACTGGTCGTATTTCTCCTCTGCAAAAATAATATCAAAATGATCCTTAGAAAGCACTTTTCCAATACTCGAAACTACACATTTAAACAACTGTTTACAACAAGAGGGCCATGATGGCCCTGAAGTCGCTCACCTGTATATAGGCCCACGGAGCGGGGCCAGTTTAAATCCCAGGGCTTTTATTTGTAGACACCCATTAGAAGATGTTTCACGCTAAACAATTAACATCTAAGGTCTAGTTCGTTGGGTTTTTTAAAGAAGATTTTTTCATGTTTTTTCTTTACACATATAGTTAAAAACAATGACACACCTGGGGTAGGGCCAGTTTTGACCCCTGGGCTTTTATTTGAACAATCTTTGTAGACAATTACTAGAAAATGTTCCATGCTTAATATCTAAACTCTAGCTATTCGGGTTTTTCAAAGAAGATTTTAAAGTTTTTGCTATACACATATAAGGAAAATCAATGTCCCCCGGGGCCGGGCCAATTTTGACCACAGGGCTTTTATTTGAACAAACTTTGTAGACACCCACTAGAAGATGCTTCATGCTTAATATCTAAACTCTAGCTATTTGAGTTTTTTCAAAGAAGATTTTTTAATCTTTTGTTATACACATATAAGGAAAATGAATGACCCCTAAGGGCGGGCCAATTTTGACCCCAGGGCTTGTATTTGAACAAACTTGGTAGACACTTCATAGAAGATGTTTGATGCTTAGTATCTAAACTCTAGCTATTTTTGTTTTCAAAAAAGATTTTTTAAGTTTTTGCTATACACATTTAAGGAAAATCAATGACCCCCGGGGCCGGGCCAATTTTGACCACAGGGCTTTTATTTGAACAAACTTTGTAGACACCCACTAGAAGATGCTTCATGCTTAATATCTAAACTCTAGCTATTTGAGTTTTTTTAAAGAAGATTTTTTAATCTTTTGTTATACACATATAAGGAAAATGAATGACCCCTAAGGGCGGGGCCAATTTTGACACCAGGGCTTTTATTTGAACAAACTTGGTAGACACTTACTAGAAGATGTTTGATGCTTAGTATCTAAACTCTAGCTATTTTTTTTTCAAAAAAGATTTTTTAAGTTTTTGCTATACACAGATAAGGAAAATCAATGACCCCCAGGGCGGGGCCAATTTTGACCCCAGGGTTCTTTTTTTAACAAACTTGGTAGACATTCATTAGTACATGTTTCATGCTAAATATCTTAGCTCTAGCTCTTTGGGTTCTGTAAAAGAAGATTTTTTAAGTTTTTACAATATGCATATAGGACAATCAATTACCCCCTGGGGCGGGGCCGATTTTTATCCCAGGGATTTTATTTGAACAAACTTGGTAGACACCCATTAGAACATGTTTCATGCCAAATATCTTAGCTCTAGCTCTTTGGGTTCTTTAAAAGAACATCCATTAGAACATGTTTCATATGGAGGGCGATCGTTGCCAAAATTCCAGACTTGTAATGTGTTCCTTTTGAAAACTACTTTTGAAAATGCAAACATGTATGTCTAGTATTTTTTATTGCATTCGTGCACAGCAAATGATATGCCTCTTAATCCAATCTTTTAATTGAAGGCACCCGCTTTTAAATAACAAGTTTACATGTAAATCTTAACAACTGACCTAACATGGAGAACAACAACACATTTACAAGTTCGTATCTACCATTGCATATAATACATAAGCATGTTTACACACTTGTAGATATATATCTGTACCTGAAAAACACAAATGAAATGTAAAACTCGAATGCAGAAAATATAATTTAATAAAACGTGTTCCAGTCGTAGAACTACAACAGTACGTTTACACAGTTACATGTTTAAAATGACAAAAGTAGATTCACAAAGTTAAACGATTCTAAGTCATGCATGACGCCCCGCCTCTCTCTGAGTATTTACGATCTTCTATCACGGAAATGTACGGACAGGTTTAATACCCGTCGCCTCTCTCCTATTTCTCAATAAAGTGAAGGAAAACACTGCGTCCATTCTAACTTTTTTCTTATTTCTATAAAAAGTCCAATATTATTGGTATCAAATGAAAGATTACTCCATAAGCTTTCTATTAGTGCCTCGGAAAAAAAATGAACTAGAACTATCACTAAATGTGATTAATACCCCCACAAATCTGCTTCGGAAATGAGGATGTTACTAGTAACAGAATACCTTGTAAAAGAATTGAAACATAGAGTTATGGTTGTGGGCAATTAAAGATAATTGTTGTTCATATATGTTGCATTTCCTTTGAATGTGGTTGGCCATTGATGAAGTTTAATTGAATTACTCTGTAATAAGTCCAGAAAGACAAAGAAAAAGAACAAAGGGCAATAAGTCTATAAATACTGAAGATAGAGTTGTAGTTCTTGTGCACTGCACTTCCTCTTATTGTGCTTGACCATTGTATGAAGTTGTTTTGAATTCCAACCAGTACGTTTTTAAGTTATGCTCCGGACAAGGAAAAGTATCAAAGGGCAGTAACTCTGTATTTTGTCAAAATGGAGTTATGGCTCTTGTGCACTGCACTTCCTTTTAATGTCCTTGACAACTGTATGAAGTTGTACTGAATTCCAAACAGTAGTTTTCAAGTTATGCTCAGGACAAGGAAAAGTAACAAAGGGCAATAACTCTGTAATTAGTCAAGATGGAGTTATGGTTCTTGTGCACTGCACTTCCCCTTATTGTGCTTGACCATTGTATGAAGTTGTTTTGAATTCCAACCAGTAGTTTTCAAGTCATGCTGTGGACAAGGAAAAGTAACAAAGGGCGGTAACTCTGTAATAAGTCAAGATGGAGTTATGGTTCATATGCACAGCACTTCCTCTCAATGTGCTTGACCATTGTATGAAGTTATAATGAATTCCAACAATAAGTCTTCAAGTTATGGTCCGGACAAAAGAAAGCAATGGAAAAGAAACAAAGGGCAATAACTCTGTAATTAGTCAAGATGGAGTTATGGTTCTTGTGCACTGCACTTCCCCTTATTGTGCTTGACCATTGTATGAAGTTGTTTTGAATTCCAACCAGTAGTTTAAAAGTTATGCTCTGGACAAGGAAAAGAAACAAAAGGCAGTAACTCTGTAATAAATCAAAATGGAGTTATGGTTCTTGTGCACTGCACTTCCTCTCAATGTGCTGGACCATTGTATGAAGTTATAATGAATTCCAACAATTAGTCTTGAAGTTATGGTCCGGACAAAAGAAAGCAATGGAAAAGTAATAAAGGGCAATAACTCTGTAATTACTTTAGATAGAGTTATGGTTCTTATGCACTGCACTTCCTCTCAATGTGCTTGACCATTGTATGTAGTTATATTGAATTCCAACCATTTGTCTTCAAGTTATGGTCCGGACAAAAAAAGAAGGCAATGGAAAAGCAACAAAGGGCAATAACTCTGTAATTACTTTGGATAGAGTTATGGTTCTTGTGCACTGCACTTCCCCTTATTGTGTTTGACAATTGTATCAAGTTGTTTTGAATTCCAACCAGTAGTTTTCAAGTTATGCCACGGACAAGGAAAAGTAACAAAGGGCAATAACTCTATAATTAGTCAAGATAGAGTTATGGTTCTTGTGCACTGCACTTCCTCTCAATGTGCTTGACCATTGTATGTAGTTATATTGAATTCCAACAATTAGTCTTCAAGTTATGCTCCGGACAAGGAAAATGCATTGGACAAAAAAAAAAGCAATGGAAAAGTAACAAAGGGCAATAACTCTGTAATTACTTTAGATAGAGTTATGGTTCTTGTGCACTTCACTTTCCCTTATTGTCTTTGACAATTGTATGAAGTTGTTTTGAATTCCAACCAGTAGTTTTCAAGTTATGCCCCGGACAAGGAAAAGTAACAAAGGGCAATAACTCTGTAATTAGTCAAGATAGAGTTATGGTTCTTGTGCACTGCACTTCCTCTCAATGTGCTTGACCATTGTATGTAGTTATATTGAATTCCAACTATTAGTTTTCAAGTTATGCTCCGGACAAGGAAAATGCAACGGACGTCTGGACCGACCGACCGACCGACCGACCGACCGACCGCCCGACCGACCAACCGACCGACCGACCGACCGACCACCGAGTGACTCCTATATACCCCCCCAAACTTCGTTTTTGGGGGTATAATAAATAGATGTATTGAATTTTTAGGTTTTTTTACTCTGAAAATAACACTCTCGAATTGGTAAGAAAAACACGGCGTTCCCTCCAAACTTTTTTTTAAGTTCGTAATATATTTTGATAATTTTGGATTGAAATAAAAGTGTGCTTCATACGATTTATGATATATAATTATATAATGCCTAAAATTAAAAATGAATAAAATCAAACTGAATTAAAGTTTTCGTTAAAAATTAAGTTTATCATGTTACTTTCT